GAGGCAATCATTATTGACAATTTTAAAGCAATGTATCCAGTCTTTACTTGTCTACAGTGAAATAATTTGATCTAGAAAAAACGTTCTATACTTTTAATCAATCTAAAAAACTACATTTTTCATATAATAATTTCATTGATTGAATATTGTAATCATCCTCGAATGATTGTTACAAAAGAAAAATCACATTGAATAATGTTCGATGTAAGAAAAGGTGTAAAAATCAATGAGTCCCTAATGATTAACGCTCGGGTTGATATTCATAGAATGACAAAAAAAAAGCGATATTATATTCTACTAACAAAAAAACAATAGATTGTTATAATTAAGCATCCTGTTACTTATTCAAGGATAAATGTAACGATCTACATGCAAATTCTTGTGTCATCAAATAACTGAATTAATGATTTTTGATCAAACGAACTAAAATCGAATAATAAAATTGGTACTTGTTGTCTGAATATGATAAAGTCTGATTATCATTTGCATAAATTGATTAGGTGATTTAGATATTGTATTGTAACATCTTTTCTTTTTCCTTTTCTTTTTTTTCTTTTTATAAACCTCTCTAGTGACTGAACTTTGACATATGTCACGTTCTTCATTCTTTTTATGAATACATATGTATGCTTGTGTCTTGTTCTCATTCATTTCATTGTTCTCTCCTTTTTTTCTTGCTACACATTCGAAGTAATATTAAGCGTATTATTTGATAAGCTGAAATTAAACATAAAGAAAATATTTTCGTTCATTTATAATGATATTGAATGAATGATAATAAGATTTTTGAAATTCAATATCAAATCAACTATTAGAATAATGAATACACTTTAAGATGTAATTAACGGAAAAAACAAAAAAAGAAATATATTTACATTATAAATTTAACATTTAATTAACAAGTATCAATTTTTATATATCGTTATTCTGTTGATTGGAAACAGAATATAAATTGCAACTCGAAAACTAATGAATATTTTAAAGTAAATTCGAATAAATGATTAAATATAACCGAATAAAGTAAATATTGTTTTTAAACATTTCATTATTTTGTTTGTATCAAAAAATGGTAATGTGAGAATACAAAAGTTAAAAAAAAACAGTTTTGTATTTATAGAAAATGTTAAATCATATTGTAGAATGAAATTATTATTCAATGTTATCACTTTTTACTTCTTGAATAACAAAATTCAGTCACGAAACTCGAAAAAATTATCCGAATGAATTACATTCATTTTTTCGTCACAAATGTCACATTGAGCTGCTCATAAGTTAAAGATTTGTAGAAAGCAATGTCTGAATGTAATTCTAATTGAAACTATTAATCCATATTTGTTCGAAAAGAGAGGCTAAAAGTTTTACATTATCTACTAATAGTCTCTTGACTGGTCTCATTTATTAATGAACATGTCATCTCTCGTATAATCATAGTGATTTTAGCTACAACATGAATATATGCTTTCCAAAAAAAACCATTAAATACATTCGGCTTTATTTACATATTAAATTATAGTCAATAGACTTGTTTTCCTATTTTTCTATCACTGAATATGCAATTACTGATAGATAAGTATTAAATATACATTTTTACTCTTTTTATATATGTTGTTTGTGTGTATTTATACAGAGTGTTTCATAAGTCTTGAGGCACGACAAAATTAGTTGATATGCAGACAGATAATAACCCCTAACTAAATATTTTTATATAAGCCTTGAATACTCGTGTCAGTCTTTCAAATGACATATTATTAGATAATATCTTCTGTTCTAAGAATAAAATGAGGATAAATTTTTCACATTCGATCAACAAGATATTGTATGGAAAAAAAAGACGAAAAACACTCGTATATTAATCTGATTACATAAAAATTTCATTTAACCATCACATATTTGTTGTCCAACATTTTTTTATTAATTCATCAAGTCTCTTAGAAATTTTATTGATCATTACAAATTATGTTTTGTTTTATTCTTTGTTCCATCTAGTTTTTAACTATTTATAGCTTGAAAATTATTCTCTCCATACTTTTTCTTTTTAAATACTATTGCATCTGTAATGCGGTAGTGTCATCCTTTTTTTTTCGAAAGATTGTAAAAATGCATGGATTTGCATCAAATTTGAATGTCTACAAGTCCAACAGTAAGAATCATGGTTAATTTGATAGATTCAATCGAACATTACTAATTTAGCATAGTGACGGAGAAGATTTTCAAAGAATTTCTCGAAAAACCATCGCGAAGAATATCCAGCCGCGATGGACATCAATGCTATACAAGACAATCGAATGATTCGGAATTACTGAATTGCTAATATAATCTATGATGAACAAATCAAACCATTATTCTTAAATTATCCTATTAATATATTAACTGATGAATATCATAATTCTTTACAAGATTGTTTCTACTGTCGTTTAAGGGTTAACATTCTAAAACTTCAGCTTTTTGTGGTCGTCCGAAAGCATTGTCACTAACATTCACAACTTGACGCGTTATGCATACTAACGCACGCTTTATATGATTAATAGGAAAAAAATGCATTTTCAACAAAGACCATCAAACCGACTCGAGTCACATTAATACTCAATATCCTTCTTACGTCACAACCTAACATCCAATCCGTCATCACTTACACTCACAGATGCTCGTAAACTATCTTTTCATTCAAATGAGTGTCATCTCTAAATTATTTTGCTTAATAAACTTTCTTCGTGACACGTGAGAATGACCTAAAAATAGACAGAAACTTCTATTAACATCCAATATCACCATATGACACGTCAACTTATGTTCAATTAACTTATCGACATACAAGTAAAGCAATTTCCATAATGTATTTTCAGTGAATACGTTTCAGAATACGAAAAAAAAGTCTAAAATTAATGGAAAATAATTGCAAACAAGGAATAAAATATTTAAAGCCTCTATGAAAATTTGTTTGAATTTTATAGGTATGCCAATTTGAGAACTACAAAATGGACTTTTTCGGATGCTGGCTTCGTTTCTGAAATTAAGCAACTTTATTTATATAACCTACATGAATGATTTTGATTCGTTTATAGTACGAGAGTTCCTTTCGATGTATGTATCGAAAGTCAGGATATACAAAATCAGTCTTTTTGTCCCAGTGAGTAGTTTCTTTTACTGATTTAAATCACGTAACTCATAGTTCTCGAATGCATAGAAATTCAGGATCTGCATTACAAGAATTATTATCATTTTCAAAGTCAGTACTGGAACAATTTTTTGTGCAACATTAGGTCTAATTTTTCATATTTATTTATTTATTTATTTATTCCCAACAACTATTAAACTTATTTTAAAATATAGATAAGTACAATAACTAAACTCAAGAATTTATACCAAAACAATGACAAAAAAATGAATGAATAAATCATTTGGTTAAATACAGTTATAGTTTTATGTTTGCAAATAAGTTTTTGAACGGTATTTTTATGCGCTTGGATAAGTGTTTGACTGGTTAAATATCATCTAATATTAACGTTATGCCTGGTGCAATCAAAAATAAATCTTCTACATAGAAATCATTCGACTAATCGAATTTATTTGACTGATCAATTAGATTTAGCAACATAATCAAGGGTAACTATAATTTAAATGAATAAATAATTTTTTTTTTTACTAGATCAAACTCACAAGATGCTCGAGAGAAAGTATGATATTTATATAAGTGAATATTTGTTTTTTTTATTTCGATTATTCTGAATAATATTATCAATAGGTGAGTACAAAATCTACTATCTAATTATTATTATTTTTTATTTAGATGAATCTGAAAAATATCATCAGAAAGTAGATATAAATTTTATTGAGTAAATCATTTTTTTTATTTAGATTGAATTCAACAACATGATCGAGGGTAAGTATTAATTCAAGTGAATGGATAGGTTTCTTGCTTTTCCGGAAGAATGACTGGGCAGAGGAAAAAAACGGACGATGGGCTAGTGAAGACGGGAGAAATAGAACAAGAAATTCAATTGTAAAATGCATTCGAAAACTTCATGAAAGCTTAGATGAATATTACAAGATTATACAAGAATTGTACTGTATGATTTTGTAAGAAATGCAGACTTTAAGATTGTCATATGAAATCGTACAAGACCGTATTATCAGATTGTTTGACTTGAATATGTTCATCTAAAAACTTTTTCTAAATATCTAAGTACAGCAAAATCAAATGAAAAAAGAAATTTCTTCTATTTCGAAGATTATTTTTAAAATGATACTTTTAGAAGAAATTTACATTTGATATTTGCCATCAATGATCATATGAAATTAATGTTCGATTCATATTATTCTCAATCATTTTATTTTAAATTTTCAAGATCATTATAGAATAAATGAAATTGAAAAGAAAAAAGATTTCACAATTTTTTGTTTTTTGATTAATAATAAATAAAATCCAATATAGGGTGTCCAGAAAATGACTAGAGTTAGAAAAAATTGCATATCTCTCTGCTACGGCTCGAGCAAACAGGCTGATTTTTCTACCAATAATAGAAGCATGTTCACACTTTAAATCCATACAGACAAGATTAGAAAGAGCCTTTGTTAAGTACCACCAACGACCTCAACAAAAAAAATTTTACTTTTTCACAGATAGGAAAAGAACACTATACGGAGTAGCGCAAAAGTCACTTTGCCGCAAAAAAATTGAATATCTTCACTATGGCTCGAGCAAAAGAGCTGATTCTTTTATCAATGATAGAGGCATGTCCAAGCTTTATACTCATAAAGACATGCCTAGAGAGATCCTTTGTTAAGTCTATTGTTTTTTTTTCTTATCTGTGAAAAAGTAAAATTTTTTTGTTGAGGCCGTTGGTGGTACTTAACAAAGGCTCTTTCTAATCTTGTCTGTATGGATTTAAAGTGTGAACATGCTTCTATTATTGGTAAAAAAATCAGCCTGTTTGCTCGAGCCGTAGCAGAGAGATATGCAATTTTTTCTAACTCTAGTCATTTTCTGGACACCCTATAATTTAAGTAATTTCAATAGAAATAAGAATAAAATGAAATCTTTTATTATCTTCTTCATTATTTGTTGATTCAAATGTAATTAAATCAATATTATTCCATTCAAGTTGAACTAATGTTGATTTTTCTATAAATAATTTAATTTTTTTCTTAAATAATTTTACATTTGATTTAAATCCAAAAATAAAAATTTCTAAATTATCTTCTGATCCCGATTGTAGTTCAATTGTATGTACAGTAAATGTTGAATCATCATCTGTTAATGAACCAATTAACATCGATTTTCCACATGAATTTAATGCAATATAAGGTGAACGATATCGTTGTATTTCATTTTGAAATACATATTGATAACCTGTAGCTTTACATTTAATATGTTGAAGTGCATGATCCATATGCATATATGATACATTATGCCAACGAAGATTTTCATAACCATTTGTTATATCACCAAGATGATGTGTAGCTGAAATTTTCTCATTTAAATTAGCAAATGTAATTAAATGACGTATACGTTGTTGTGAATTTTCATTTTTAAGTTTTTCTCGAAATTTTCCTCGTATTTGTGCTTCTGAAAATGGTAATTGAAGTAATGGAAATGGTGCTTGTTGTTCTTTTAAATGTATAATATGTAAATTTTCAGCTGGTGATAAATGTGAAATAATTTGAAAAAAAGTTCCAGGTAATAAAAGAATTTCTTCTTCATGTTTAAAATATGAATGTGAACGAATTCGACGACCAGTTTGAGTTTCAATTGAAAAAAGTGTTCGAGTTCCTATCTTACCCAAATATAATGGAGATTCAAGAATTTTTAATGATAATGTACATGAACTTAATGCCCACCATGCTTGTTGATTTGTTGTTAAATATTGAGACGATAAATCACCAAGAACACCACGCCAAACAACACCTTCAATAGATGGTAATTTAAAAAGAGCTGTTAAAAATAATTTTAAATAACGAAACCATGGTTTTAATTCTTGACGATTAATACTACGTAATGTTTGATTAAGTTTTGCATAAAAACTTTCTTGACTATTAGGCCATTCCATTGTATAAAGATGAATTGAAGCAGATTCATCTTTTGTTAAACCATCTTCAGGATTTTGACAATTACATTTTGATATCCAAATATATTGTGGAAGATCATTTATTAAAGAATAAAGTGGTTCACAAGCTTCTTCTAAACAAAGTAATGGTTCCCGTTCATAACCGGCTATTGGTTGTAACATATTTGATGGTTCATCTTGTATATTACTCAAAAATCGAGGATTAGGATTTTCCATTTTTGAAATATCTATTTGTGTTTTTTTTTGTTACGTTTAGTAGAATATGACAGAAGAAAAATAAATCAGAAAAAAGTTTCCGTCGGTGTAGGAAAAAAAACGTGCATTATAAATATGACGGCAAAATAAAGAAAATCCCACTCCACTTTTTTCTTTCCTTCTCTTAGAATTTAATATCAACAAAGTTTTTTTTATTTTTTTTCTTTCCTAATCATGTGTCACATGAACTAACTTTTTTTAATGAAAAGAATCTTCATTTTTTGTAAAAAATAGAAGAAAAAAAGCGAGATGAATTTATTTAAACAATAGTGATTTGTCCTATTCTTTTAAACCATTGTTGTACATTGTTAAGACTTAGTATTAATGTACAACATATCTATTTTCTACTTGTTTTAACTCGAATTGTTGTTGAACAAAGGATTAGTCATAAGATCGTAATGTTTAGTCCAACTAGAAACAATTATTCAATTAAACAAACAATCACATTTGATTGACGACGAATGTCATGTAAAACATTCATTCTATCGATGTGTTTGTCTTTGATCTATCTTTGTCTTTTTTTAGTAAATTCAAATCTAGCAGGTAAAATTATATTTATTATAACAAGAAAAAATAAATGATTTTCGCTTTAAAATTAATATAGTAAAAAATAGATTGAATATTAAAACAAATAAAAGTATGAATAAAATGAAGAATATCCGTATGTAATAAATTGGATATTGACTCAAATCTCCAATCTCAATTATAGATAGACTTATCTCTATTTTTCCTTAGACTTGTTCCTTGATAAGAATTTAAACGATTTAAGAATAATTAATTATTTATATGTAATCATGAATTTTGTAGATATTTTCATCAAATGTTAACAATTAGGCTTAGGAAAAATATCAATCATTCAGAACAATCTCGCTTATTGTTGTGAACTATTCTTATAGGAGAAATTTTATCCATTCATTTTCACATATCAGACAAGTTCGATTAAAATTTTCAAATTTGTACTAAGTCATTTTTTGTTAAATTGATATACCGACATAATATTTTTTGACACATTATCGAATGAAATATAGCTATTGAATTTTTATGTACAGTTCTACATAGGACTCTGAAGCCTGACACCGAATTCAACACAATTAAAGTGATTGAGAAGAACATTTCTCGGAGTTGAGGTTGGAGTTGCATCAGTAAAATATTCAAGGTTATTTTTTAACTTTTACATAGTAATAAATCTATTCCTCATATGTTAAGTAATGAATAAAAAACATACCACTTTGCAGTGGGTATTACTAATTTATGCTAACATCACTAACACCCAACTTTGTAAAACCGCATATGAATCATCTTCACTAACACTCACAATTTGGAGAGTTATGTGCACAAACAGCCACTAACACCCACTTTGTCCGACTCCTAGAAAAAATAAACCGTCAACAAAGATCAAAAAATGATCCCCTTCAACACTAACACCCAAAATCTCACTTATAGTCCACACAAACACCCCAAGTTCTTTTGACAAACACCCACAGAACCCTATAATCTACATTCTGATACGAATATCTGCTATCCCTGACGATGTGGGTATTTGCGAATACAACTCACTAAGATGTGGATGTTAGTGAAGATGACCTATATGCGTTTTTACAAAGTTGGGTGTTAGTGATGTTAGCATAAATTAGTAATACTCCTTTGTAATCTTATAAGTTTCAAGAATAAAAAAACATCTGAGAAATATTCATATTAATAAATAGTACAAAAAAAGTAAATATTCTAATCGAAAAAAAAAACTTGCTAGATTATTAGAACTACTGAAACTATTTTCAATATCAAACCGTTGTTATGTAGGAATTGTGCAAGTGAACGTTTTATAAGTTGTTTTGATCATAGACAACACTGGTATAACTCTTTCTCTACTTTTATCATTGATGAGTTGTTTCAAAGTATTAAGATTTTTCTCTGAAAACAATAATTGGTTGACCGTTTCATAATTCAAACTTGTTCTTTTCCCAGTAACGATATATTTTGATGGCAAAAAACTTTTCAAAGTTTACCATAATCGGCATCGGAGTTAGATAGAAACTACAGATGAACTTGAAGTAGAGTCCTGCGCAAGTTCGATTTTTCGAACTCGCACTCGATCCGGCGTTTTCTGGTAAACCCGACCCGACAATATGATTTGTCTGTTTATGTTAGATTAGCCATTTTTTTTTCGAACATAGCTATTTGATAAAAACTGAAATTTTTATAAAAGCATGGAAGATGTATCCAATTGACATCAGAAATTTCATTAGTTCAAAGGCAATCTGAGAATATAATATTCTTTCATACAGTAACAACAAACCATTGAGTATAGTACTAAACAATTGTAAAACTATGACTTCAATTTAATAATAAGACTGTTACAATGTTTTTGTGCTCTTTTATAAATTTTCAAAAATTCTAACTACTGTTACATGATTCAAAAGCGTTACTATGAAAGTTGGTCTCAGTATCCTATTAACAGAAAAATTCCAAAACGAAAATAGGAAAGTACATCAATTATTAAAGTCTATCTTTTTTTGAATAGAACATGTTGGAATGAAAACCATTTTCTATATTCGTCCCAAAACATATCCACTAGAAGAGTAAAAGAATCGACTCTTATCTCATCATTGTTGAATCGAATGTTATTGGTTCACATTTTCGAAGATTTTGATGAAAAAATACAGTAACGTTATTCTAATTTCTTAGTATCACTTAGAGTTTTACACTTATTTTGAAGTATGCATAGACTTCCATGAATTCGTTCATATTATAGAAAGAAACGATAAATACTGGAAGTGTTAAGAATTGTTCGACCCACACCTGTGATATTTATGGATAACACGCGCCCATCCGTGGATTGACTTGTAGGACTATAACTCGAAGTCAAAGTCATAAAGTTTGACTCCGTAAGGCATTACTCTTATGATGTTATTTTTCAATTCTCTTTTACTATGAAATAATAAGTCATCATTTCTGTTTATTTAATCCTCTGCCCATTAGAGCCCGTCCGGTTGGTGTCGAGCCCAGACTCGATCGAGTCCGAGTCTGACTTCATGAGTGCTACTCTGGAAAAAAGAGCCAATTATAAGTTGATTTTATAAGATCATGATCGAGATTGCTTCAGAACTGTTGGGAGCGTGTTCCTGAGGGATTATCAGGTGTGAATTAAAAAACTTTCATTAAATATCAAGAGTACAATTCGGGACTGGGTCGGGATCCAAAATTTTTGGACTCGACGGGCTCTACTACTCCTGATAGGACCTAAAGAGGTGTAGCGTTGATTACATTTAACTTATGAACAACGAAAGCAATTAAATCAAAACACAAACATAAGACAACACAAGAGAACATAGTCGATCATGACTCTTTCATTATAACAGATAATCATTCATGTAAAGTCAATGTTGACTTATTATAAAATTTATATTAATTGTTTATTTCGAAATGATTAAGATCGTTTTGTTTATTATTAAGTAAAATATAGTCGAGTATGTTATTTTACAAATTGGGGTGTTCATCGATCGATGAAAGAAGCTCGTCTTCGACCTGAAGATATTCCAGCTGATTTATGTACGCATATATTTTATGCATTTGCTAATGTTGGAGGTTTAACATTACAAGCAAAACATCCAAATGATTTAAATACTTATCAAGGAGAACAAGTTTGAATAATTTAAAAATTATTAATTGAAATTTTTTAATTTTGATGTTTTTTTTTTTGTTTTTTAGCCACTTTATCCTCGAATAATAAAATTAAAAGAAAAAAATCCCGATTTAAAAATATTAATTTCTTGTGGAGGATGGGGAAATTCTGCTGAATTCGATTCTCTTGCTTCATCAGAATCATCACGGTAAAATATTTCTTTCTTTTTTTTTGTTTTAATAAAAATTTATTTAATTAATTTTCTATTTTTTTTTTGTTTTATCAAGAGAAACATTTAGTAATAATGCAATAGCATTTTGTCGTCAACATGGTTTTGATGGTGTTGATTTAGATTGGGAATTTCCATCGGCTAATAGTCGAAAAAATTTTGGATTATTAACTAGAGTAATAAAAATAAGAAATCGAATGAATTTTTATTTTCTTTATTTCTTTTTTAAATTCAGACAATGCAAAAAGCTTTCAAAAAAGAAGCAAAAAAATCAAAAAAAGATCGATTATTACTTAGTCTAGCTGTAGCTGCTAGTGAAGTTTTAATTAAACAAGGTTATGATGTACCTGTTCTTTGCAAGTAAACATACAAAAAAAAAAACAATATTTAACTGGAATAGTTTTCATTTTATTTAGTTATGTTGATTTGATTAATGTTATGACTTATGATTTGTATGGTTCATGGACTGGTAAAATTGGTCATCATAGTGCATTATTTCATCGACGTGGAGAAAAAGGCTTAGAAAGAGATTTGAATACGGTTCGTTTAAACGAAAAAAATTTAATTTTTCTATTAAGTCAATACATCGTATTGATAGAATTGAATAACATCTTTGTGAAGAAGTAATATATTAAATTTATTTTAAAAAGTATTGCATACAATGATTAGAACAGTACATAAAGATCCTTTGAATAACTAACGAGTGTTTCAGAAATGAATGGGTCGCTTTCTTTCACATCCAGCAATTAACACAATAATGAGATTAAAACAATTTTTCTCTGTATGATCGACATGAGATATTGGTTACCGAGTAGTCTAAATTTAAACCTTGAATTATTTAATTTGACAGAGATTTTCTACTTCTACCAATTCAAAAAAAATAAATGTTAACATCAAAAGATATTCTTATTAAACGACTGTAATATATACTGAAAAATATTTTTGATGAAACATTATTTTGAAAAAAACGAGACTTTTATCTTCAGCTATTCGTCTAAAACATGTCTTGAAGAATAATTGATGTCATCTAAATAACAAATATACTATTTCGTAGAGGATTAAACGATGAATTTTTTTTGAAGAAGAAAAACCTCTGAATCAATGAATACTACAAGAGAAAAATTCATTCTTCTTGATGACTAGTTTCAATCAGTTTGAACTTCACACGAAAAGAAAATGTTTTTGTATTACTTTCGAAGTTCAATTAGTTTAAATAATAATATCGATTCTTGCTTTGCAAATACTGAAATCGAATTGATTCAACTTTTAGTTATCCTTATATCTGAATATATGCCATTAAATCAACACAAGAATGGAAATTGACTTCTTTTTTTTTCTTCATTCTAACTGTATCATACATAATCTTAGAAATTGAGATTTAAGTGTTGAAAATACGCATTACTTATTTTTTAAATCGAAAAATATTGATACGTAGCTTAATATGATTTTAAGCTGGAAAATCATTGAATTCTATAATTAAAATGATTGCTGTACAAACGTTGTAAAACTCTTTCACTATTCCCTCGCCAAGACAACCAAAAATAGTGTTGTATACTATCATGTCATGTAGTTTACTATTGTAAATAGCTGTAGACCGACATTTGATAGGCACGACCGTATTTTATTTTGCCTTTTATGACGATTTGTTCGTTTATGTTAGTTTATTTTTATTTAGAATAGTTCAATGTATAATTGGATAAAAGCAGGTTGTCCACGTGATCGTCTTATTATTGGTATACCTGGTTATGGTCGAGCTTTTACTGCTTCTGGAAATGATCCAGTAAAAGCATATGGTGAATCTGGTAGTGTTAGTTCAATATCATCACCTTATTTAGGTGAAAGTGGTTTACTTGCTTATTATGAAGTAAGATATTTTCATATTTATATTTTATTTAAATTATAAAATGAATTAATTCCTAAAGATATGTAAAAAAGAATTAAGTGAAGGTTTTAAACGTTATTGGCATAAAGAGCATGAAATTTCAATTAGTTTTAAAGATGGAGTATGGATTGGTTATGATGATCCTGATAGTGTTAGAAATAAAGTAAAATAAATAATTTTGTTTGATTTTTTTTTTCAATGAAATTTTATTTTAATTTAGTGTGAATATGTAAAACGTGAAGGTTTTGCTGGTGCTATGATTTGGGCATTAGATATGGATGATTTTAGTGGAAAATTTTGTCAAAAAAATCGTAAAAAACGATTAAAACGTTTTCCATTAATTAATGCAATGAAAGAAGTATTTGAAACAGTTGAAATAACAACACAAATGACAACATTACCTATTCAAACAACAACATTAACAAATGAAACTATTTTATTAAATGAAGAATTTCAAGTTCTTCTAGATCAAATGTTTGAAGACGCTTCATCATCATCATCAGCAGCAGCAGCACAACATTATCTCAATTTTATTTTGTTCTGCTTTGTATATTTATTAAAAATTATTTCATAGGATCATAGTGTATAATTTCATCTTCTTACAATAAATATGACCGGTTTAAGTTAATGATGTTTTTTTTTTGCATTTATTTTATTTCGACATGTATTGACACCAAGAATTTTAAGTTTGTTGCATAGTAAATTTTATTGAAGAATTTCGTTAGAAAAATTCATCAATTTCTATAGTTTCCAATAGAATATAATTAAAATTGACTAATTTCACATTGCAACAATCAAATCTAACTGAAGAATATGATTAATTTCTGATTATTTATGTCTGGTTCTAATAAAAATATGTATTCTTCGATCGAGTTCATTGCCTACTAAACTTTTTCACCATTTATTATTACTAATTCAATTTAAACGATGTAATCGAGATTATTTTGTGAAGCATGTTCTAAAAGAACTGTTGAAGTAGACATCATAGCAATCAGTCATCGTAGAAGTGACAGACACATTAGAAACGGCTTATCACAGACACCTTCAGGGTTGTCAATATTTTCTAGGAATGGAGCTGGCAGACTGGAAATTTGGCAGAAAGTACTAGTAGTGGTGACTGCGAATTGGGAAGAACGAAACTCATTGTGACCTGTCGCAATCTTATTCACCTCGCAATGAGATTGTCTACTTATTTTTATTCCACTTTCTAGCAGAAGAAGACAAATGATGTTTCAAAATCGGTTCCTGTTCAAAGTTACAACGAAGCTATAGAAAATTGACAGAAATTATCAAGAAATTCGACAGAAAATATTAAGAATTTTAGCAGAAAGTCGACCATTTTGTTGAGGAAAAAGGTAGGAAGAAGGAAGCTTCCGTGCATCTATCCTTTCCTAATTGAGAGCCCTGAGTGTAGTGTCCTGCGTGACCAACGTTTTTGGTCACGATTGCGGAAAACATTTTTTTCCATTCATGATCACGAAAAAAACTATCCTCAATCATCTTTAGAAAAGATCGCTCACTAGTTGACAGACTGTGTGGTGAATCCTATTTTGATTTTCCTTTCTATATTTTCATTTTTGACATATTTCATTCTGATCAAATCAGGGTAAATTTGCCATTCTATGTGTTACAATGATGAACGCTGAATCGAGTTGTCAAAAGATTTGTGTTGCCTCAGTCGAATAGAATCTTAGTGTAAGTACTGTCGAAACGAACCAAACTGAATTAAGATTACTATTTAACAGTTTGTATCTAATTGAAATTCTGTTATCTACTTCGATCATTAGTGTGCTATACTCCGTTAGATACGATCGGCATGAACAAGAGAATATAGTACCGATTATTTCTTTTTAGTGCTCTGTAATGATTATAATCGCCAAATTATACAGAAAAGCAAAATATACAGAACATTTTCTATTTCTGAAATACACATTATTATAGACTTTCTCTCGAAAGTAGTGAACGATGTAGACTTATCAGATGAGATTAACATATTTTCTTCTAAAATATTGAAAACTATGTCAAATTTAAAAAATTCTTTCAACTATATGCGGCATATGATTAATGGTGTAAAAACTGCATCAATATTTATTGAAATAATCTAGACACTGCTTTATTTTTAATTCTGTATAGTTTATGAAACTTCATTTTTGTATACGATGTTCTTGGAAAAAAGATTTGTTCGTATATTTTACTCATATAAATAAAGTTTACATGCACATCTTGTTTTAGATTTCTACTAAAAATATTGGTCACGATCATACAGGACACTACTTGGGTGCCTTAGCAACACTGCTCTTCACGTTACAAACCTCTTAACAATACTTCCTCTTGCGTCACAAACTGTGCAAGGTTTTATTGATATACAATTACAGACTGTATATCTGTAACGTCTCATTATAATATATATGATGTATTTCCTTATTGCATTTCTAGAGGATTGAATAGAAGAATGATGAAGAATTGCGCCGAAAAATAGGTAGAATAAAACAATCTCCCTGCGATTGGCAACAACAGTTACACCGTCTTTCGTCTTTTAATCTCACAGGGATTGCACTAATAGCTTTCTTTAACAATGGAAGATAATCATTCTGATTTCACTATTATGCAACACAATAGTTAATACATATTATCATATTCGTAAACTAATTTTGATTATGAAATGCAACAACTGACAAATCAAAAGATCTATTCAAAGAGAAATATAACAAACCGTATAAGTCTTGGTTATTGAATTGAAATCTAATAAATTCTTATAGGAAAATCTTTTCTAGAGAGATATTATTAGATTTTTATATGTAAATTCAATTGTTATTTTTTCTGAATGCAATATTTTCACTTTTATTAATTAATTATATATATTTTTTTTGTTTCAAAATATACATGCATAAATTATTGATGAGGCAAAGTGTTTTCAATTGCATGAATATTATGTACTACTTCATTTTGTTCTTCTTGATTAACATTTGAATTTTTTCCAGAATGTTTGTTATCCAATTTATTTTGTGAAATCTCTTTAAAACTTCGTTTTTTAGCTTCATGTAAATCTATATTGAATCCATTTGGCGCAGCTATAAATAATTCATCATTTTGTAATATACCATCTTCAAGATCCTTTTCATTAATAGATCGTTTGTGTACTTGTTTTTTACAATTACATGTACTTGGTTCAAGATATTCACCCACATCATACTTACAAATTTTATCACCACAATCACATAATTTTTCATTGTATTTTTTTTAGACAATCAATAGCAGGAGTACCACCTAAATCGAAATAATTAATTTAAATATATAAATAAAATCACAAAATAAAAACTTTACTTGGTACATATGGAGTTTTATAATTGTTTGTATATTGTGAATGTATATAATTGCATGTTAAATGACGTTCAACACGATGAGGAAAAAGACAATGTGTATGAGCACAACCAACACGTGTCATATTACTTAACATTGCTTGTGTATAATGTAAACATGAACCTGGTATTTTATAACATCCTTCAGCATATTTGTAATTGTTTCTTTCTTCTCTAAGCATCGTATCTAATAGACTAGCTAAAGAACTGCGAATATCAGTTGACATAACCATATTTTGTCCATTTTTCCACTTAAATTTTGGACTTAAACGATTCACAGCTAGATCATGATCGAAAGCACACAAGTTAGCATGAGCTTGAGCAAGTTTAGCTAATTCATCATCCCAATAGAGTCTAAACATGTATCTAGATGGAACAAATGCACGAAATTCATTATGTTTGTCAAGAAGTTCTTGTTTTTCGGTTTCATTAATTTTAATTTGAATTGCAAAATCACTTGGTCCCATACTAAAAAATCAATATTAAAAAAAATTTCAAATTTAAATAAGAAAATTTTTAATCATTTATCTAGTATAATATAGAGATTTTTTGTTTAAAAATTAACAAGTCTATTTATTTATCAACAAGAAGCAAACATTTTCTATGAAGATTGTATATCTCATCGCTGAAATGAACATTATCGTCGAATGATTTTCAATTGTTTCTATTCGTAAGTTTTGTTTCGGCGCTCATTCCTTAAATCTACTCTTTCTGATTATTTATCAACTATTACAAATATCATCTCAGAATGTCGCTGATAGCTTTGATAATCGCAATAAAAATCACCGAAAACATCTATTGTCGATAGACATATTGCCGAAATACAAATTATCAAATTTCGGTAATGTGACTTTCGACGAAGAGCATACTGAACTGTATTACAAGACGAGAAGATCAAAATAAATCATTGAGAAATATATATTTTTTATTCTTTGACGACAACTTACCACATTGTATGCACAGAAGACAAATTTTTATAAGCCGGATCGCATGTGTTTGGATGCACTAAAGGTTTTCCACTTTTTTTAACATATTCTTCTATACAATTACGATATATAAACTTAGTATGATTTGTTTTACATTGTTTGTACAATGCTCCTTTAGATAAATAATCACATTTATCAAATTCTTTTCCATTTATTGAAAATTTAGGAAGACATGTTAATTTTGAATTCCAAAAATCATAACAATAAGTAAATAAACCTTGATAGTCCGGTATTAATGCACACCATGGCGTATCTCCATTATCTCCATCAGTTGTACAATCCTTATAAGGGGTATCCCGATATGTAAATGGAAATACGCAATTAGTTTTATCAACATTTGGATAAATATCACGTGCTGTAAATTTCGACCAGTCATTTAAAGCATAGACTGATGAACAGAAGAGATATATTAGAAGATTGATAGTATAATACCAACGATCCATCTTTAAATGAAAATAATTTCTTTTGAGAGAAAATGAAAATATTCAGAAACGAGAACAATTTATATATGTTTGAATGGATCATTAAATCAACAGATGGTACATTTTATTTAATGATCTGAAACTTGTTGATGTTTTCTTCTTTTTTCTTTTAGTTAAAAGAAAATTATTATTGAAAATTTTTCATGCATATAATTAAATATGACAACATATGGAGTTTTTGTATTATAATGATTTCTTAATTTCGTATCAATATATCTTTTATTATTTGTCAAATAAAACTTTTAGTGCATTTTCAATGAACTGAATCATTGATATTGATAAATTAAAAAAATGTATTGAGTGTCCAGTAAGTCGTAAAACAGACACACTAAAAATTGAATATCTCCATTATAGTTTGACCAAACGGATTCAGTTTTTTGACCAAGGATAGAAGCATGTTTACACTCCAAATTCATACGGACAAGGTCAGTGAGAACCTTTGTTAAATAGCAACAAGAAAATTTTACTTGTTCACAGATAAGGAAAAGAAAACAATATGCTCACCATAGATTCTCACTAATCTCACCCATACGAATTTGGAGTGTGAACATGCCTCTATCTTTGGTAAGAAAATAAACTCGTTTGGTCGAGCCATAATGGAGATATTCAAGTTTTAGTGTGTCCGTTTCATGACTTGCTGGACACTATATAATAACAACACTAAAGAATTGATGATAGAAATAGAAAAATAATGACAGAAGAAGTATGCAATCAAAGTAATGGTTAAATTGTTACCGAACCAAATTGAAGTATATTATACCAATTTGCATATTTAAAAGTCTATACAAGTGATCAGAAAAAAATCTGATTCTTGAAATCAGAATTGAGCTTAGTGGGAGACTTATCGAAATCGTAAATAAAAATCATGGCGGATTTGCAGAATCTTAGTAACAACAAAATAATAAATATGAAAATGTATAGTCTAATTCTTGATAGAAAAATACGCACGGATCAGCTTGAAAAGCTATAAGTCCCGATCGCATCCAGATCACTTTGCAAATCCCTATACTGGCTATTCTAGATGCGTAACCAGCTAGTTCATATATAAGAACAAAATATCATGAAAACGAAAGAGATAACTATTTATTTCAGCATAATCCAACTATTTTTGTGAATCTCTAGAAAAATCATATCTGTATTATGTTCAATCGTCAAGAAACAAAGATTGTTCAAATGAATCAACTGATGAACAAATAATATCAATAGGTAATAATGATAATGATAATGTTAAGCATGTTGAGAGCTTTAGTAATAGTGAAATAAGTGGTGGTGGATGAGCTAATAGGTGACTAGTATAATAATATTGATATAAAATTGATCGTATATCGCAGTTATATCAGCATGTACATTGCTAGTTGAATCAATTGTAGACAACAGATTTGATGTTTTAGATAAAACAAATCATGTTGATATTTCTATAGATGTAGATGAAGAATGCAGTTCTTGGCCATTTAACTTTGGTTTTTCGATGAAGATGATAGAAAGAAAGACACGATGGTTCTTGGTTTTGATGTACAAGGTTTTATGAATTTCATTAATATATTTATAAAATATTTCAATTTATCCTTGGTTTTCTTCAGAAGGTATAAGTCATAACAGATGACATAAGATACTGATTAGTGTTTTCAATATCGATTGGTTTCAGGAACAAAAAAACGGCTTATTTATTTTGATTTAAAAATTCGATTAGTAAGATGGAACTGCGGGTGATAGGGCTGAGCCTTTCCTGGTCATACCCTAGTTACATTGCTATAAACAAAGCAAGACGAAGTCCTTTCATTTTTTTTGAAACTCTTACTTTTCAAGGGGTGAAAGGAGATGAAAAGTTCAATGTTGTGGAATATTCTTAAAATAAAATCGCTCTCTAATTATAAATGTACTCTCTTATATAATAGTAATACAGCTTAATTCAGAAAAAGGGACTCTGTCATATCCTGCATCTTGATATGTTATTTCAAAAAAAAAACATTAAATATATTGAATGAAGGTTCGCATAAAATTATGAGTTGCGCGATCAAAAAGCATAAACAGAGAAAAAGCTAAAAATATTTACCGCTTTTCCTCATAAAGCATATTGTTCAAGCAATGGGTGACGGAAATTATCAAAAGCTTTGCCAAAAACAGTGTTGCAATTTTAAATTTATGTGATTTTTGAAAAAATAGAACAAGTGTTCTGTACCATTACGACTTTTCGCAAACGGACTCAGACCGAAGCTAATCGACATTGCTCTGATACTTTCACACTCACAGTATGACTTCCAAAATTTTATTTTATATAAAAAAGTATACTATGTAGGTTCTTTCCTCAGTAGCAACAAAAAGAAGAGATCATCTTTAATAATTCCACAAAAAAAAAAAGTGATTCAAGATTCATTTAGTGTCTTTCTGGTTCTAAAATCTCATCAATTTCGTTGAGTATATATTTGATTGTTGCTGACGACGCTGAAATAGAACGTAGTGTTGGTGCCAAACGTCATATTTGTGGATACCTACATCAATATACTTTTTCTATTACAATAATACATGTACAACTTTTTTATAGTTTGTTTTCGTCTCCATGTATTCAATTACCTTGTCATGTAATTCATCAACATCTGTAGATAAATCTTCTGCAAAACGAATTCTTCTAGTAAAAACAACATTGCTTTCTACTACCGTGGCATGTTCTCAAGTATAATAAATTGTTCCATCATGATCGAACCGTTTTTCGCTCCTATGCTTTTATATAAATTAGCCGTTTGAAAAAAATAAAAATATTTTGAAACGTCGACATCTCATTAATTGTTGGATCGAGTACTGGGTATTCGACCCGTTTGCAAGATACTAAATAGAACTCAGATTATCTTCCCATGCATTTATCTTAATTTTCATTTTTTTGGTCAAAATTGATTTTTTTTCAGGAGGAATAATACTTTTAAAAATCAATCTAGAATTTTTTCTTGATTGTCACGCCTCATAAAAACTAATCTGATAATTAATAAAATTTGTGAGACATATATAATTGATAAGGGAAACTAAGTTTGCAAGATTTTATTTTATTAATGTTAACAGAAAAGTTATTTAAGATTTTGATTGATTTCAGCTAATAATTGTAATTCAAATTTTCCGTATGCACATTTAGGATTTCGGATGATTACACGATAATAACCTTTTTGTAGACGATAACTTAATACAGCTGCATAACAATTCTGTAATGCAAAACTATTGCCATCATCATTTTGAGCTAAAAATTCGTCAGTTTGTTCCAAATAGAGTTCAATTAAAGGATCAGCAGCACCTAATAATTTCCACATTCTACAAGATACCCATGTATTAGCTGATATTGTGACATCAGCTAATGTTGTATTGACACTAAAACAAAAAATAAAATTTGGTTCATTAATATTTGTACTTTCATTAGATATTGTATCAAAAGTAAGCCATCGTGGACATGCAAATTGAGGAGGAGAAGTACTTTGTTCTCTTGTTATCGTCGTAGTGAATTGTTCAATAGTAGAAGTAGTAATTTCAGTTCCTGCTACTCGAAATGTCCATACATTAGGATTATTAATAGGATTTGATTCAATACCACATGATTCATTAAGAGTAGCAACTCCACTATCTAACAAAATATAATATTCTTCATTCTAAAAAATAAACAATGCATGATTGGTTTTATTTTTTCTTAATAGTTCAATATTGTAGACGAAGATATACTTACTTGTTCCCACGTATATTCTGTTGTAAAAAATGTTATTATTCTTGATTGATAAATAACAGTAATATCGCTAGCAACATCAATACGATAAACTTCTTCATTATTAGAACGTTTAAAAAATCGAATATAAACTCCACTAGGTCGTCTTGGTCTTACAATATTCTGATCAGTTTCAATTGTCCATGATGATTGAGTAGTAGATATTAAACCCATAGGTATCATACGTATAAATTCTGGTGGACGAACATCAACTTGGAATGTCAAACATACTTGAGAACCTATTTGTTGTTGAGAATCAACAGGTGTTACACATAATTGATGTATACCATATTGATCTGGTTCAGGTGTCCATTCAATTGGCATTGTATATACATATGGATTAGATAGATCAGGAGTTATTTCTCCTTTTATGAGACCAACTGGTGATATAGTCAAAATATCTTGTAAAGTTATGCATGGATTCTCACATGGCATATGTATTTTTATATTTGCATTAATTGTTGTATTTATTTCAACACCAATACATGAATCTGGTGACCATTCACCAATATAAATAGGTGGTTCAGTACAATTACATGCAGTTGTTCCATTAACAATATGAATAAGAAATTGAACTGGAATTGCAGAAAGAACATTATTATTTGTATCAAAATCTTCAATTACTATAGCAACAGCATTATAACCAAGTTGAAGAGATGTGTATGTTAATTCGCATGGATTTGATTGAAGAATACATTTTGGTGTACATATACTTCCACATTCATCTGCTGAATTTCCCCATCGACATCGTATTGGATCACCATCACTATCAGCCATTGGAATACGAATAACATGAGTCTTACCAAGTTCAACTTGAACAATTGGATTCATTGTTGTTTTAGGAGAATTATTCAATCTATTCAATATATAAAAAAAGAAAAATGAGTTCATTCATACTATTGATTATCACTTACGTTCCATCGACACGTCGATTTGTATTAACGACTAATCTTAATGCCCAATTTGATCCTAAATTGTGTGATAAGAGTTGAATCCAACAACATCCTTGATATACATATTCAATTTGACTGTTGATAGGTAAAAGAATATCAGTTGAATTTTCACCACTACTGTAATCAAATTTTTCATTATAATCTGTACATCGTACTCGACCATCAATTGGAGGAATTATTGTCGATGACATATTCTGATTTGAATTCGAGATAAGTATACCTTCTCCAATTAAATGTCCCGAATTTGGAGATGTATCATTACAAAAATGAACAGAACGACGCCATGAATGTCGTTGCGTGATACGTACTGGTATTCGTTGACCATCATCTGTTATATTGTCAGGAATAGCACGAATTGTATATGATATAGCTCCACCTCTATATAATTTCTATGCATTAAATCATATGAAATAGGAAAAATGATCTATTTTACCTATAATGAGATCCAGTAACTGCAACAATTAGAACAAGATGAAGATATAATGAAAACATCTTGGGATTTATTGTGATTGAAATGATTTCTTTTGATTAAAATATTATTACGAATATCACCTTTTTATATTCGATATTCTAGTTGTATAATAATCAAGTTTTCTTACGATCTGTAAAGTAAATAATAAATATTTTACAAAAATATCGATCAATAAATAAGACATACAAGTATAATATGATATCAAATATCAGAAGGAAGATATATTTTTTGATTACTTTGTATCATTTATCTCATTAAAACCTAGACAGACACGTTTATCGATGGTTCAGTATTTTCAATAATTTAAGCTCAAAATTATTCCGCAACAACGAGTTCAATATATAGTAACATATAGATATCTTTTTTTATTCTCAATGATTTGTATCAATGTTTTAATCTTTAATAGTATTATGCACTATGGTTATTTATTAAGTTTGTTTCGATAATTATGATACGCAAAATATTCGATTATTGCAAATATTCATGACAGCATTTCTATCTGTCAATAAGATTCAAATGATCATAAATATTTGAGCATAATTATATTACAAAATATTCAATTACAAAAAAAATCATTAATGTCTCAACTAACAGATCAAATTCGCATAGGTAAGATGTTATGCACATAATCAATCTTTGCAATTTTTCATGCATCCACTAAACCATCATTTAAATGTATTATAGGTCAAAAAGCAAATCACTTCTATCAATGAGACAGTATTCTCTTCACCGAAGTACGGCAATCTGTATTTCGACGATGTCACTATCAGCAATACCTGTTTTCGTCAGTCTTCATTTCGACGACTGAAACTATCAGCTGTATTCTGAGATAGTACCTACAGTATATATATAGGATGTGGGTGTGGTGACTTATGTGGATGTGAATGTGCAAGTTGTTGTCTTTATTAGTGTACATATAGGCGATGGTGTTGATGTCAGTGCTTCGTAGCGCTTTTCTTGAACTATTCAACCTATCACACTGATAGCCACGTACGCACAAACATACACAGACACAAATTCCGCCATACTTGCACACCTCACAAACGCCATCACGTCAAACATCATACACTGCATCCCCAACACCACAAACACCCCTAATCCACTAATCATAATGCACATGCCAGCAACATACAGACATAGCACCCGAACACACCAAAATCCAATATTATACACTGTACTTCCGCATGTGTACCCAAAGCCACACTAATATCCACCCATAGTTTCACCCACATCCTTCTCCGATTCCGATTTACTTTCGTCAACCTTTGTGAAATATTGTTATTTTCTCTAAAACCCATTTCTTTATCGAGAAAATAAAACCGATGAATAACAAATGAGACTGACAACCGTAGTACCGATTGCCGGTCAGAACGGTTAACCGTACCGCGGTTATCGTCACCATTGTATCTGTAATATCTATACCCCTAGTTTTGAGTGAGGCGTGTGCAAGTAAGTAGATTACTGGATTTATAAAGAATTTATTTTTCGTTTAATAGAAAAAAACTTATTTTCATTCTAATCGTTTCATTTTTTTGTCCTTGTCGAAAACACAGTTGATCCTTCTTCAATATTGATAATTCTTCACAATAAAACTCTTTTTCTATGTAGAAATTCTTCACAAATAAAAACAAGACGAAATTACTATTGAAGAAGCACATTTTTTTTTGTTGAATTCGAAAACGAGTGTTATTTCGAAATTAGATGTGAAAAAGAAGATGAATTAATCTTCTCGTTCTGTGTTACATAACGATCATCAATGTAAATAAGTTCAGCTGAATCATTACTCCAATCATCATCGCTATCGTCATGTATTGGCGTGTCATCTTTTTGCACTGAATTTGTGACTTTTTCTAATGATAAAGAGAATCCATCATTTGGAGATAAACAATCCAAAGAAGAAAATAAAGAACTTTGTTGATAGACAATATTGTCGGTTTCACTTAGTTCATGTGGTGAAGTTTCGACAACATCATTTTTAATATTATCAGAATCAGATGTATTAGTAAATTGATATGTTTGACAAGAAGATGTTCCAGATGAATAAACAATAAATGAAGGATGTTGAGATCTAAAAACGAAAATTCTATAATAGATTATGATTGATTTTAATAATATAGAACCTTGTATACAGTATGTTTAAAAGATGGATCATATTTTAACCGAATTATTATTTTCATCGACCGGTTAACGAATGCGAATTTATGAGCTAATGATGATGATGAGTCTGGACTAGAGATGTACAAGATCAATTCCTGTCTCGGCCATGGGGATCAAAACCATGAGAAAAGAAGTTGCTGAGACCTAGAGCCTGGCGGGTCCAAAATTTTTGGATCCGGACGCATTTTATTGAATATTTTTTAGGTCCGGACCCGATTGATTAAATTTTTTTAGACCCGAACCCAGATCCGATCAACAGGAAATTTCAGGATTCGGAACAAACCCGACGGGCTCTACTGGAATCTGACCGGATCCAAACCAAAACAAACCTGTTCGCGCACATCTTTAGTCTAGACTGAGATATCCAATTTCTAACATGCTTAATTTTCATATAGGAACTAGATGGTGTTTCACAAAATTTATCTAAATAAGTCTCATATTTTCATATTCCTACATGAAAAGAGAACACATTAGAAATCAAATATCTCAGGTCAAACACATCATGGTCAATACATTTATTTTCATTCGTTAATTTGTCAGTGAAAGCGATAATTCGACCAGAACATGATCAATCTTTTAAACATACTGTATAAAAGCTATCCTTTGCATGAAAAAAGTTAATGAAATAATATCTTTTATAAATTTGATACATACTTATCATCAGGACTAACATATCTTTCATGAAAAGGTTGTTGTGCATCGGTAACAATCAATGGATGAGTACGAGTTGATTTATCATCGATTAACTCATGACTAAGTGAAAATGATGATGATGATTCGTAAAGATCATATTGTTGTTGTTGTTGTTGTTGATGATTAATTTGATGATCTGATACAATTGACCAAGATGTTGGTGATCTTATTTTAAAAGTTCTATTTGAATTTTTTTGTGTTTGATTAAATTCTGTTAAATTCATTTTTGATGTATTATTAAATCGATTAATCTCGGTTTCTTGTTGAATATTATTAATATTCATCGTTTGAATTCGAGTAGTTCGTAATAAATTATTCATAGATTCAATTGGTGAATTTTGGCTTGAATTAAATTGTTGAGTTTGATAATGATTATTAGGCATACGAATAACTTTATTTGAATGAGATTGAAAAGGAGAACTACTATTTCGAGAAGAATATTCAAATTCAAATTCAATATTTGGATTAATTGTTCGACTAGAAAAAAGCATTAAAAACAAATTGAAAATTTTTTTTGACAATTTATTGTTCTACTTTTTATTTTGCATAATAAATCCAACTGATTTTGATTGAATAGATTGTTGTTGTCGGTTTATATTATTATTATTTTTTCTTCCTTTAAGAATTGTACTATTTGATTGATCATGTTTGATTTTATTATTTGTTTCATGAGAGTAGAAATTATTTTCAATCAATCGTCGTCGATTGTTGTTATAATCACTAATATGTTCATAATGATGATGATGAGGAGTACTTGTAAAGAAGTTTTCAATTTGATTTGATGAATTGTCATGATTTTGATTAGTTTTTAACAGATTTTCAATGTCTTTCACTGGAAATGACGAGAATTTTTTATTTGAATTTTGAAAAATTTTGAATGATATAGAAATTCTACCATTATTTTGAATTTGTTCCTTTTGAGAATTTCTTTGCCATTGATTTATATTATTTGATCGTTTTGTCTCTTTAAGATTTCTTTTTTCTTGAAAGTCATTGATAATCTCTTCATTATATAAAGATGGTAAAGTTTGTTTTGTTTGATGAGATGATCCTATGTGTAAATTTTTCATTGTAGAAGGACTTAAATCATTTCTTTGTATATTTGAGCCTATTCATAGAATTAAAAATCAATAAAATAACATGATTTCCATGATTTCTACTTCAATAACACGAAAAATTTTGACGATTAGGATGACGAAACGGACATATAAAATAAAGTATTTCAATTTCATAGATTCAGGTCTCTCCCTCCGAAATCAATCTTGGGTCGGACACATTCAAATCGCATGGAATTTTCAGAATATATTGGAGCTATAGTAGAGAGGTTATGCTAAAATTTTTAGCCGTATAGAATGACATTTTCGGGATATATTCAACAAAGAAGACTCAAAAATAGCTCAATTGGCAATTCAAAATTTCCTGAGTACCCGCATTCTATAGAATTTTCTTTATAGAAAACAGCATGTCAGACTGTAGTGTCGTTGCTTTAAATTCTTACTTTTTATGCGAAGAAAAAGAATGACAAGTTAAATACGTCGAAAAATTCTTAAAAAAATGGTCATCGGTTTATAGAAGTGCTGGTTTATATTATAATAAAAAAGCTTAAATAGTTTTGTATGCTCTTTCACAACAAGATGAAAAAGATTTCCCGAATTTTCAAGCAAAAAGTAATGGAAAATATCAAAACTTTTGACAAAAAATGAAGTGCAAAATAAAAAATCATGTTGTGTATGAAAGATCAAATCTCAGGCTATTATCTCAATTTCGATTTTTCTGACGGAACTTGACTTTTTTGAGAGAAGGACCTTAAAACAAACATTTTAATCAAGCTAATGTTATGAATTCGAATTTCTATCAAAATCAGGGAATTAAATTGAAAATATTCGTTTTCGTCAATAACATTGAAAGACATCCATTTTTATGTGGGTTTTATCACCCGGAATATCATTTTTAAAACGCTTACAAAGTGTAATCGATACAGAAATTTCAATGAATATAATTCTAAGATCATCGTTTTTCAGATGGTATAACGTATAAGAGAAAAAGACAGTGACGAATACAGAGGAGACACTTGGAGTGATCCCCATTTCGTTCCGAACTATCCTTCTATTTTTCTCACGAGGAAACTCATCCGACTGGTAATCACCATTTGAACTCATATTGTAAGCTT